TAGTACAATTTTTTACGGATGATAAAGATATAAATCCTGGCTAATTTTGATCTGTTTGCTTTATGATTATTTTGGAGAGCTAAATGTTACTCCCAGTAAAGTGTCAACGGGCCGGTTCGCCCCCCCCCAGCTTCGCCAGGCTGCCTGTATGATTCTTTTCATGTTTTACGTCCGCTATGTGTAATATATATGTAAGCAACTTTCCATTAGAAAGGTCCTTCATGAAGCCAGGGAGATAAATCTTGCGTATCCTTCTTCCTTAAGAATTAACCGGGAATGGGTACTTTTTTTGATAAGAATAATTGCGATACGATTCGGGCTCTTTGTACTTCCTTGTACGAAGTAAAAAGGAAGTATTGTAATCGCGAAAAATTTCAGGTATCATATATCAACGAAAAGGTGCTACTTTGGTAGACGGTTGCACGGATTTTTGGCGATTTACATTGGCACAATTGTTGGCGCGGTTTTTACAGTCGTCAGCCATCTTGAAAAATGCTGTTTTTTCGTATTTTACGCATATAGTAAAGTATTCGAAACTTTAAAAAAAATAAATATACGAGGGCTATCCAGAAAGTAGATTACGTTTTGGAATAAAAAAATAAACAAAGTATAGGAAACAAATTTTATTATATACAGATGAAAGCCACACTCAAATACTACTTTTCTACATAGTCACCATACAAATTAAGGCATTTATCGTAGCGATGTACGAGCTTGGAAATTCCTTCGTCGAAAAATTCGGCCGCCTGCGCCTTCAACCACTTCGTTACCTCTTCTTGCCTTCCATCTTGCACAAAACTTGTGGTAACCAAGCTTTTCGCTGATGATTTCGTGCAACAAACTTCGCGAAATTTGTGGAAAACTCAAAGAAAGTTCCGTTATTGTGAAATTTCGATTTTCACGGACTTTAGCATCGACTTTTTCGAGAAGTTCGGCGGTCACTATGCTGGGTCTCCCACTTCGATCTTCGTCGTGAACATTGGTTCGGCCATTTTGAAATCTTATGACCCACTGATGACGCACTCCACCTTCAGTGATAATGTTGTCCCCATACACTTCACGAAGCTGCCGATAGATTTCTATCGGTTTACAGTTTTTTGCAGTCAGAAACCTTATTACTGAGCGCACCTCGCAGCTCGCGGGATTTTCAATTAACGCAGACATTTCAAACCGTCACAGTATCTGAACGGAGCACAGCACGAACCTCTCACTAGCACGGCTAGATGCAGACTGAGCTGCGCAACGCTCTGACCCCAAGATGGCCGCGCTAGCCCCGCCCCTAGCGGACACAGACGGAAACGTAATCTACTTCCTGGATGGCCCTCGTATAAAAATAATGGATTAATTTTTTGTTGAAAACTTTGTTTTTTAAGATGGCTGGGAAATGTAAATAAATGCATTTAATAAGACTATAAAATGCTAAAGTAAGGTTAAATTATTACTTTCATATAATAGAATAAAAACACCGCTATAAAAACATTGCGCAACATTTAATTGGATTAAAATATTACTTAAATTGAATATTGAATTAAAAACATCATACCAACTTTTAAAAGAACTAAAATATTACTTAAATACTTTAAAATAAGTTTTATAGGATTTAATTATGTAACATTAAAACATATGCGCCAATAAATATCTCAGGAATTTTTTAAAACATTGTATTAATTTTTTAATAAAAATTTTAAGTATACAATTATGAAGTAAAAGAAAATTATGTACTCACATTTTATAACCTGTCGTATATTGATACCCCCCCCCCCGAAAAAAAAAAAACCGGTCCGCTAACGATCTTCATCTGTGTGATCCACATCTCTCACACTTCATTGAAGAAGCAATTAGCCAGGTTTTCTCCAAAAATTTAAAATAAATTTCCTCTGACGCTATTAACAATTTATAAATAAATCTTTGATTAGGAAAGCAAGGTTGGCCAAAATAAGGTCTCAAACGTCATTTTTTTTTTTTTATTCCGATACCAATAATCTTGGTAATTACCAATAACAACATTCATATTCGAAACGGACACATCCATTCCATTTGAAATCTGAGGAATTCGAAGAGATGAATAATAAAATTTTAAAATGGCGCGGTAATGCACAAATATTCAGTAACCAATTGGGGAGCTGATTACATCACGCATAGAATTAAAATTATTTAAATAATCATTCATAAAAAAGTCATATTTTTAAAAAATGCAAAATTAAATTGTATTTTAATATTTAACACCCATAAATAATGTTTAAAACATTAGATTAAATTTATAGATATTAAAACCAATTACTTTTAAAACAATGTGACGTCATTCATTACATCATTCACAACATAAAATTCCATAAAATATTATAAACAATAAAATTTTTATTTCAAATAAAAATGCAAAATGAAATTCATTTTTATTATTTTGAAGTCATAAATAATATTTAAAACACGGAATTTATGCATAATAAAACGCATTATTTTAAAAATAAAATGACAACAAAGTATCGGTACCATAAACAACTTGTCTAGCAATAGGTTTACCATAAGTCGTATTGCTCGCCAAAAACAAATTGCCAAAAACTCGCCAAAATCCGTGCAACCGTCTACCAAAGTAGCACCAACGAAAATATCCATTTGACCGCTATCGAATGCAAATTAACGATATTTTTGCGTTATATCTGTTTGTAAGGACAGAATAAAGGACCCTTTTTTTTCCCAAAAAATTTATAAAACTGATTTAAAATGGATTCTGAAGACATTTTTTCGTGGCGTCTGTATGTATCTCACATAACTCAAAAACGAGTAGCCACAGAATGTTGAAATTTTGTATATGGATTGCTATGACATGTAGATGTGCACCTCCTGTTTTGATTAATATATGTATATCCACTCTGTTACTCGGCTCAGTGAGCTCAGTTTCTTTACTCTTATATGTTTATAAATTGGGCATTTTTTTACTTTAAAACTGATTCAATTATGTTGTTCTTATCCTTCGGTTCAGGTTTTTACGCGTTTCCTTAACCTGCATATTGTAGTTGTAGAATTACCAACAATTTAAAAGTTATTTATGTCCGGCTAAGCCTAATTTTTTTTTTTTTTTTTTAAGCAGATGAATATATTTCTTGCCAATCTAGAGAAACTAACGTCTTCTTTAATTATTGAAAATTAAATTATGATTATCCATCCTGGAATTATCATTTAAGTTATTAAATTATCTCATACGTTGACTCAGAATAGCGTTCACAACAAATTAAGTCAGTTTCTAAGCCTTCAGTGTCTTTTTCCCGATTGTGCACCGAAAAATCTGTCTTCTTACCCCCTGGCTTGAATTGCTTGTTTTTGCGTAGAAACTGTAATTTTAATGGTAAGAAATGTGTTTTTCTATATCTTTAAATTTTTAATGAAGCTATTTCGTGTTTTTATTATTTTTGCCTTGCCACGAAGTGAGAACTGAATTAATTACATCTCTAATGAAATACATCTCTAATGAAATGCGAAGAAACAAGTGTTTCATATTAGCAGAAAATACTGTCGCCATTTCAAATAGTAAGCTGTTGCCAAACATTTGTGTTCTAAAACATTGGCTCTTCCTTTTTAAAAAAAAATTCTTCATTGAAATTGCTCTAAAAATGTGTAAACATCCTGTTTAGTTAGTCATTTAAACAGTGAATTATAACGTTTCTTGATTGGTGACACGCTTAGTTGATATCCTTGGTATTGCTAATCTCGAGATTTGAAATTATTATTTTTATATCATCAGGGCATTGATTTATTAATGCAGAACGTTTGTTTGTGTATATCACATATTTTGTCAATACTTGGTTCTGTAATTTGCATTTCAATATGTCAACTAAGCGGTTATATGGTCATAACTTATTTTCTATTCATAATTGCGAGAATATACATCAATAAACACAGAAAGAACATAAATAGCATAACAGATTTCATAAAGTTAATATATACCTTTTTCTAGGCAAGTAGTGAACCCTAAATATTTTGCCGTGGCTCTGTTGCGAACCGTTACTTCAGGGTGCAGATATTGCTATCTTGTAAATTGCATAAATAAGTAATTTTTGAATAGCAATTAATGTATGAAGGTGTCATATGAGTGAAAGTTGCTGTATTCTCTTCTGTCTTCGAGAAGGACAGAGCATAGGAACTGTTACGACGATTGCATGCTAAAGTTAAACTACCCATTTTCTATGAGAATATATACCTTGTAATGGATTATTTGAGTAAATAGCTTCGCCAGTTTGGCACAGCGGGAGCCTGCGCTGTGCGCGCCTTAAAGACTTAGTAAATGACTCTTAGGCTTCATTTAGACGAAAGTTTTGCCGTCGTAAGACTTTGTAGTTTAAGGTATGAAATTCGTCAAGTCGATTCAGATCTGTTTAACAGGATTTAAGCCATAGCGAATCAAGGAAGGGAACGTTGCTTATGATTGGTTGCCTAGCAACAAAGCTCGGATTAGACCTCTTATAATTTCAAAACCAAAACCACCGTGTGAACAAAAATTTAAAGAGTAAATTACTCTCTTTTACTTGCTGCTGTTACTTAGACTGTTTGGTAATGCATTGCTTTGGTTTGTGTGTTTTCATTTGTATCGCCAAGTGGGCGATGTCTCTATAGAAGAAAGAAGTTACTCTAGTAGGGAAAATTAGGAATTTCTTTCTTTGTCTAGGTGTCGTTCTGGAGTCAGATATAGAATTATTCCTACACATCCTTTTTGGGGGGGACGGGGGCGTATATCTTAATAAAAATGCTGCTATAGCAAAAATACCCATAAAGAACTTGAAATTAAAATGTATGACTTGTTAGTCAATAAATATGGTATTCGAACGTAGCGAATAAGATAGATAATAATCGCTGTAATATTAACTATAGTGAATAACTATAAACATGGCTTGTTTCAATCTTCCTCTAGAGGATTCAAATCAACTGCCTTTTTATTCCTCTGTATTTATGTAAAGAAAAAAGCTTTTGAGTTTTATGTTTTAATTTAGATATTTTTTATGTTTTAGACGAGTTTGCTGTTGAAATACCATTCGAATGTACTGATAAGGAACAAGGACCACAAATCGCCTCTTGATCTTGCTTGTGAATTTGGGCGTTACCAGGTAGATACTATTACTTACTTTCTTTATTTGAAATGTGTGTGTATGCTTATGTTTTCTGTAATTTTTTAAACAAAGCTATTTATATCTTTAAAGAACTTTTTCAACTTAACAAACTTATTGTGTGACTATATTATACGTTTTTACATTATGACATCGGTCGTTTATTTTCTTAACATATTTTTAATACTCTGATGTTTTATCTGCAGGTTGTAGAGTTACTGCTGCAGCAACAAGCAAGCGGACGTTGCCGTTCTCTGTTAATAGAGAATCCCCAGGACACTGCGGATAACGATCGTACAACTTGTTTACACCTGGCAGCTAGAAATGGCCATGTTGATGTCATAAGGTTCGTATATTGTAAATATTTTTCTGCTACTGTTTCTATATTGCTGCTGTACTGCTGCATTTCCTATGAAAAAATACTTTAAGATTTCGCATCTGCATTCGGAAAGTGGTAACATGTTAACGTTTCTTATCTTAAGAAACGTTATCATGAATATAAGAATATAAAAATATTATATTCATGATATATTCGATTCGTTATCATGAATATAAGAAAAATGTAATGATTTCGGATCTTCTTATTTTTTAAGTAGTAGTAGTGAATCACTAGAAATATTCAGTATCAAATGAAAATATAGAATTTCTGATTGGTGTCTGGATCATACGCATGTTTTGTGATATTCTTGAAAGGAATCAGTTAGTCAACTATAATTTAAAAGATAAAATTTACTCTACAGATTCATTCTGCTAGTGTAATTAACTAGAAGCAGTGAATCAGTATTTAATATGTACCTCTACAATCAGGAAAAATAACGTCAGGAATAAATCTTTTCTCAAGATCGTTTTATTATGTTGTGAAGTTCTTTTTTTCCATACTATCAAGATAACACTCACCGCAAAATGTGAAACTTAATAAATGAAAATTATAGAATTAAAGAGTATTAAAAAAATCAGATTCCATCACATTAGATGAGCGATGTCCTTAATTTCACGTGTTAAATCATAACCACCGTCAAAACATCGTCGTAGATTTTTATTTGGAAGTATAAATCGAATATGATTCCCATTTTGTGTGTATATTGAGCCAAAGCCTCGGCGATAATCTTTGTAAATTCCACGGTCAGAAAGGTCGTACATGCGTATTATCTACTTTCTAAGCAGAATTGGAAAGAACCTAGAAACTTAACTGACGTACAGACCTCGTTAATAGAAGGTGTAGGTGAAGTCAACATGCCTGTTTCTCTGTTGATACTGTTAACCATTTGCCAGATTTCTTAAATGTCCGCAGTCATCATGGCCTCTGAGTTGAAGCTTTTCTAAGAATTATGTAAGTAGATATAGTTTAACTTAGTAGATAGGATACGTAATGATTTTTGAGTAACTCGCATGATGAATATTCATCGATTATAGACCAGAAAATTTGGGAGCGGAACCACAAGCAGCGGGATAATTCCTAATTCATTCGATTTATTTCTTAATTCCAGTGGCTATGCCAACGAATCGAATAATCATGATTCTTATCTTGCTTCTCGTCTTCAGTGCATATCTGATTGCCATACTAATTAAGTAATGCATTTGATCGACGAGGGCTCTTAAACTAAAATTGAAGTATAAAACGCAAACTGTATATTAATTACTTATATGATTGCAAGCACAATTATAAGATACATTCACAAGTTCATGCTTCTTTAATCCCGAAAGTGTCATTATTGTCGGCGCTTTCCTAAGCCATTCTTATTGGCGAACGGCTTGCAATACTGAGCTACGAATGGAAGACTATTTAAAAGCCAGGCCCTTCGCATTCTTCTGTCTGGCCAGTCTTCATCTGCACAGGCTCTTGGTCACTATTTATAAAAATTTGGATGTCGAGCTTTGCCATAAATGAGTAATCAATTCATCCATACATTCATGTATGTAGACACACAGAAGATGAAGCTGTCTGGCCTAGTCGAAAATATTTTATGCACTAATATAGAAATATTCTTCTATAAAAAATATAGTATAAAAATGAAGATAACTTTACTTATTTTTTCAGTGTCTATCAGCAGAAGAATGATTCTTTAGAACTCAGTTGTGGTAGCTCGCATTAGTCCTGTTTCCACCAATTTCAAAGTTTTCCTGTTTGCGCAAAATCAGATAGTGCAATCTCCTTTCCACAGCATTCTCCTCGAGGAATGTAAGATAAGTCATTAAGAAGGTTTGGGCTGTTTCTTTGTGGATAAGTTAGTTTCCGTCTTCATATTCTAATAGACATATCTGAGTTTAATCTCATTTTGGAAATCTTTATTTCTATTCTGTGTGTAATTTTGTTACTATGTTCGCTTTTATTTTCATTTTTTGTTTTAGACGTTATGGTGACTAAAAAGAAAAAAGGCATAGGTTTTTTATAAAGGTTATCACTATTGAAATTTGTTATGAAATAAGGAAAATCTATTTTATTAGATTTACATAAACGAATAAACTAAAAACATCCAAAGGCAAAAGATGAAGTCCTTGCTGTTTTCAGTTCTGCTGCTCATGTCATGTTCTAACTATTCTGACAGGTTGATGTTAGGAATGCGTTACATTTTATGCAGATGCCTCTAGAATGCTTTACTATCGCGCAAAAAATTCCCTTGGCTTGCCATATCTTCTTAAAGTAATTAAGAGGTTGATATTTTCTGCATGATACTGTTGTTGATTGCCATCAGTTGTTCGAATTGGTGGCAGTCAGTAAGAGAAGGGGGATTTTTTTTGTTTGATTTATGGAAACTAAATGTGTAAGTACATGCGATTTTAAATTACTGCAATACTGTATTCTATAATGTACTTGTGAGCGTCGCCAAAGTCGATAAATGAAACCAAATGTTTTTAATGTAATTAATTATTTGTCTTCAGTCCGCTGCATGAAATATTTTTCTAATGTCCGTGTCCAGGACACTTTATAAAAATATAAAACATTAATTTCAGCGATTAAAAAAAGTTCTACAACATAAACATTATGCAAGGTCGTATGACAGATAGAAATACAAATTGGTATGAAAGTGTAAAAGGAAATCATATAGCAAGGACAACAAAATATTGAAGATACTAAAAAGAAGTCTGCATGTCCTTTGCAGCTGCAGCTTATCAATTATGAAGATGATGTGGATGGTTGGAATTCTCGTTTCTTATGAGAAGCTGATTAGTTAGGCATTTTAACTCTCATTCAAAAATCCCGGACGTCTGGTAGTAATCTACTCTTCAGCCTCTTAGAATATTGAAAAGAAAGAAAATATAAGGTATCCTAACTAAAGTGCCGGATTTAGTATACCCCCAAAAGTGCTTTGTTTTTAGGAAATGGAAAACAGTTGTACGTGCTAGAAACAAGTAAATATTCCTATTTAAGAATATGAAGTTTGACTTGATCTAGCACAACTAGCATTTAATTACTATCAGTTCATTTCACAACATCGTTGCAATTTAGCCGATATGGAGCTCTACACAAAGAAACAGTAAAGTTTGATTGTGAAAACTTATTGCAAGATTGTTGAGTGTTGTGGACAGACTTCCAGAAGGCTTTGTATAATCTTTGGTGATGAACGTGAATATAATGAAACAATAGTTTCCAGAGTGATAAAGGAATCTGAGAACACAGCTTCGATAGAGGACATTAAATCACCACGCTCTCGATCCAGCTGGTCTGTTGAACACATCGCTATTGTGCACAACAGTGTTATTGGCAGTTCTAAAGAAAAGTTCGAACTAAATGAGAAGCAACAAGTTCTGTACGTGTTATTAGCCGTTTCTATAGGCAAATATATGAAAAATTAATAACCAACTTCATCGAGAGAGTGCACTGCTGAAGAGCAAGTCGAGGAAGACGTGAGTTTTCCCTTTTAAATTGAAACATTTACCTCCTGTAAGTATGTAAAAGTAACTTCCATTTCCTGAAAATAAAACATTACATTGTGCGTAATAAATACGGCGATTTTGTTGGGACACCCTATATAATTGAGTAACTGAATCTAATTAAACAGTTGAAACAGTCTTGAGGACTGAATAATATGAATATATTCGATTTTGACGATTTTCTTCCGCTCCAGAAATTTTCATCTCCAACTATTGCTTTGAAACTTCGATGCTTAAAGAATTTAAGTTGTATATAAAAGGATCTTAAGATAAATTATTGCACTCAGATAAGCGTAAGATTAGTCTTTAAAGGAAAAGAACCTTTCTGCTGCATTTTTTATTTGCTTGCAAATTGCTTGGAAAACTATCATCACCCAACCCTTCTTTACCCCTTTCCTTCCTGACCCTTATTAATTTGCCGTCAAAACTACGCATATCCGAAGACAAAAGGTGAGTCTTGGAAATTATAATTAAGAGCCTTACTAATGAATATGGATGAGACAATCAAGTACCAATTATTCCCACCAGGAGTTGCCGTTGAATCCTATTGTGATTAAGGAGTAGCGCCCCTTTTTCTCCACTTGCATTTTTCTTATTAGTGCCTCATTAATTGGAGAATGATACAGTTCTCGTTTCTCCTTTTGGGTTATTTCGTTTTTATGGCTTTTACTTTCCCATATTGTCTGTGCATTAGTCTCTCTCTTTATGGCGGCTTATTACGATCCGAGATTGTCATTTTGTGCCCATTAGTGGTTTTGCCGGTTGGTCGTTAGGGAAGAAGCGACTTACTATTTCTGAAGCACAATGGGAGCCATAATGAAGTTTCGCCGCAATGAATTTGTCATAATTGCCATCACTGCTATCCAAGTTTGTTTACTGTTCCTTTATTATGCGTAATTTAAGTGGATAATTATATAGATTCTTACTTTTCCCCCCGTGCTTAATAAATTTATTTAAGAAGTATAAAAGATATAGGGAAAGATACTCTATTACTGCTGAAAGTAATATTGAGATCTGAAGAGGAAGTAGTCCTATTTTATTTATCAGATCCATAATTATTCATTTAATTTTAAAGTAACGAATCGAATCGCTAAATGTTTGTAAAAGCTAAATTTTCTCGTTTTTCTTTTATTTTTTGTTTCCTCATTTTTTTGTAATACGTACTTTAGATGCTATTAGTCTCATTTTTTTGTCCATTTCAAGTTTTAAATAAAATGATGTTGCCAATGATTTTGCTGTAGGATTTTAAGCGAGATAAGTGTGAAGAATGTGACATTTAATAAGGTTAAGAAGAGAAAAAGTTAATAATAAAAAGGCGAAGCTGTGTATGTTATCTTACTAAGAAATATTACATTGATATGATGATCTGATTTTCTGGAACACTGAAGCTGTAAATTTTGTATCGTCCAAGTACGAAAAAAGTGATATTTAATAATTAAGTTGAAAGGTTAAAAAAAAAAAGTGTTAGAATGT